TTTTCCTTATGTGTGCTGGGGGTGCCTGTGCTCTTCCTCGCTGATTGAAGCTATCACTCAAGCCGTGTCTTCCCATAAGTGGAACATATTATAAAACATCAGCAGATTTCCCTCCAATCACCACACCAGGTCCAAAGGGAAGATGATTAGAATTTGTGACACAGAGTTGACCACATCCAAATGATATTAAAGCCAGGAGGGGCTGCAAATTAGTCATCCTTTCCTGTTTGTGCTGGAGGCTGGGCACTGTCCTCTGCTCTTGTCTGGGTTTGCACATGACGCACTGCAGGCTTGAAGGATTTGCATTAGTGGATCATAAGTAAAAATCCCATTAAAATGACATTCTCCTCATCATTATGATGGCTTTAGTGAGAGGCTCTGGATTGTCATAGGCGTCTCCTAAAGTCACCTGTAATAGATTTACGTGGCTGTTCATTCACCTTGGCTAGAGCCTGCTGAGGCGTGCAGAGGGCCTGGGCTGGCTAGAGTCCACAGCACCTCTGTAGAACTGCCTCTCTCAGCAACACTCCTGAGGGCTATGTGAAAACCCTTCTCCATGCCTGGTCTCAGTGCTGTGAAGAGCCGCTGTTCAAACATGTGTGTCCAGGGCTGGGGTTCCGTAGGGGCCTCTAACACAGCCCCTGCCACTGGCTCCATTCAATGGCCTGGCATGAGTTATATTTGCTTAAACTTGATAAATCTGATGAATGTCGGGCCGGACGCGGTGGCTCATGCCTGTAATCCCAGCACTTTGGGAGGCCGAGGAGGGTGGATCACGAGGTCAAGAGATCGAGACCATCTTGGCCAACATGGTGAAACCCCGTCTCTACTAAAAATGCAAAAAATTAGCCGGACGTGGTGGCACAAGCCCATAATCCCAGCTACTTGGGAGGCTGAGGCAGGAGAATTGCTTGAACCCAGGAGGTGGAGGTTGCGGTGAGCCGAGAATGCGCCATTGCACTCCAGCCTGGGTAACAAGAGCGAAACTCCGTCTCAAAAAAAAAAAAAAAAAAAAAAAAAAAAAAAAAAAAAAAAAAATCTGATGAATGTCATACTAGAATTCCTTGTATTTGCCCATATCTAAAATTCTGAGTCTTCTACTGAATACTAGATGTTTCAATTAGGTGCCAGTCCTTTGGGGATAGAGCACCAGCACAATAATACCTTATAAAAGGCCACTTGGGATTTAATGTCCAACGGCTCCTACACACGGGGGTCCCAACACCTGCCCAAGCTTTCTCCTACTGCCCATGCCTGTGCCTATGCCCTGCCACACAGAGCGCCCACATGCCCTGACCCCAGCCCTCCTGCTCACTGCTCTGCCCTAGGCTGCCGTACCCTGCTGCATGGAGCACTCTACATTTCTCTAAGACATTCCCTCCCGGAGGCCTTCCCAGGCTCTCAGCCCCAGGTACCCTCCATGGGCTCCCACAGACTCCCCCATGCAGCCCCAGCCCCCAGCGCCGATCGCATGGGATTGTAAACTGCCTGTTGATGTGTCTGTTTGACCCATTATCGTGGAAACTTCTAGAGAACAGAGATTCTTATTTTAGCTACTGATCCCAGGTACCCCGCACAGAGCCTAGAGCACAGTTTGTGCTCAGAATAAACTGCTGAATAAAGAAAGAAAATGAGTCCCCATCAGGCATTAGAACAGATAAAATGCTGCTGAAATTCCCAAGGTAGGCCAGGAGTTAAAATGTACACAGTACATTAGACTGGCTTGAGTTCCTTCTTGCCAAGGCCAGAAAGTTCTGGAACAGTTACAAGTCCACTAGTAGTAAGTCCAGCAAGATCTTGAAATAGGATTTCAAGATCAAAGATGAACAATGTTTGCAATCCAGAGAGTAAAAAAATGGTGGCATTTAAGAATTTTAAAATGCTCAATAAAACGAATCAAAAGTATCAGTTAATCACCGGGAGGTTTTCAAAGATCTCTGGAATTTTCCTCTTTCCTCTCCCCCTCCCTCCTCCCCTGCCTCACTTCATCTCTCCCTTCTTTTAATCTTGACATCCATTCACCATTATGAAAACATTTGCTAGGCACCAAGCATGTACTCATGCCTGTAACAGGCACAGAAGACCTGGGGATGAGTAAGACACTACCCTGCCCTCCAGGAGCTCAGGCAAAGTGAGCAGACAGGCGGGATGAATGGGTTACAACAGAACAGTAGGAATGGGGATGGAGCTCTGCATGGAGACTGGGGAGCAGAGAAGAGAGGCAACCCACCCATGGGGGTAACCCAGGATGCCTTCCTGGGGGAGGTGACATTAGGGATGCACATGCTGGGCATCAAGTGATTTACACCCAATAAACTTCTGGCAAGGTTCTGTCTACACAGAGAACTGAGTAAGGAAAAAGAGGAGTCTGTGGGTTGGTTCATATACACCACTGGATTGCTAGCATGGGAACTGCTGAGGTTTCCTACGCCTATGCACTGTGATTGGTGAGCTGCGGCTCTGATCATCAACAGGCAGTCTTTAAATGTTCATTTCTGCAGTAGAGGAATGCTAGGGACTGAATTTCGTCTCTCCTAAATTCATATTTTGAAACCCTAACCCCCACTATATTTGAAGCTAGGACCTTGAGGAGATGATTAAGGCTAAATGAGGTCAAAGGGTGGAGCAGTCTTTCAATAGGGCTGGTTCCTCATAAGAAGACAACAAGCCAAAGTGTACCCTCTCTGCCATCTGAGGACGTGGTAAGAAGGAGGACCTTCGCAAGCCAGGAAGAGATCCCTTAACAGGAACCAAACCGGCAAGCACCTTGATCTTGTACTTCCCAACATCTTTAACTGTGAGAAAATAAATTCCTATTATTTAAGCCACTCAGCCTGTGGTATTTTGTTACGGCAGCCTGAGCAGACAAAGAATAAGACAGCTTCAGCAAAGTGAAGATGTGATCATTTTACAGGATTTCATCAGGACTATGGACATTTTGTATTTCAGTGATAATTCTGATCTCTAAAATTTTTATACATTTAGAAGTGCAAACTTTAACCATTTTAAATAAGCTGGCATACCAAAGCAGCAAGTGGACATAATGGAAAGGGCAGGTCCTAAGGTCCTAGCCACGGTTTGCTGTGTGATCTTGGGAGAACTATGGATCTCAGTCTCCAGGTTCACATTAGCCACCAGGAAGGGCTGGAGCAGAGATGAGAATAATCTGCACGTGCCGCCTTCCTAGCACAGGGCAGGCATTGACAAACGGGAGTCGATGAGATCAGGGTAGTTTGGAAGGTGTTCAGTGAATCTCAGCCCCTCCTTAAATTCACCACTTTGGGAACAGATGTTAGAACTGCTAGATTCACTATATCTTTATCTTTAGAACCAGAATTCCTTCCTTACCTATTTTTAATTTCCAAGCCCATGACTTCATTTGCCTGCATCAATGCTTCTCAATCCCATCTTAGAAAATGCCTCAGGATATCTATAATTATCTCAACCAGTATAGCAATGTTCCTATTTTAAAAACCCTCACAATATGGACTTTATTTTAATTCGCTTAAATTTGTATTATATATTTTAAAACAGCCCATAAAAGCCATATGGCACTTTAGGACATAACTGAGAGGTTGTTGAGAAAAAAAATAAACAATGTCAAGATTTCACAATTCCTGCCAGATTCAGAATTCCTAGCTCAGAGGAACATATACTAATCAAGATGCCATATTTTTAGAATTAGCATACAGCAGGATGGGATTTACTGGGAGTGGATTCGGCAGTTACCACTGGGCTCCCCTAGCAGCTTTCCCATCAGCTTGGCATCCTTCATCTTGTCACATTGCCTGGAGTTCCACCATTGAGAGATTCCCCAGAGTCAATGAATCTTTGCTTTAGAGAGCATACATGTGTATACTTCTATGAGGATGAAAGGTGGCAGCAATCATTTCCATCTCCGTGTGAATGAGTTCCTTCTGGAATACATCCCAGCAGCACTCTAAGATCAGCTCACTGGAGGACTGGAGACTTGGATGGAACAGAGAGAGGGTGGAGGTGGCGACGGTAACAGGGAGGGAGAAGGGAAAGGATTATGAATCACTCAGCCCTCAGCAAGGTGAGGCAGGTAGTGTAGTACACACAGCGGGGTTTGGACAAAGGAGAGAAGGCTGGGTGCCCCAGAAGCGCTTAGCCCAGCATATGGAAGCGGCAGAATAAAAACCAAACGAGGTCCTGGGGCCCCAGGGAGGAAGGGTCATAGAAAGGGCATAATTTCCTCTGCCTCATTAAGCAGCATCCATTCCTTACTTCCCTTTTTTCTGACTGCTGGCATTCTTTCTCTTGATAATTTAAAACTCTTTAAAAATTAGCCCTTGGTCCCTTTCAAATTTAAGTAAAGGCCAACTCTAGTCTTGCTACACAGACGCTTCCTGACGGCACAGCCACCCAGAAAAGTGAGTACTACTTCTACCATTAATGCTTCACAGTCCTCAGAAACACACTCCAAGGCTTTGCAGTCACACCACAGGCTTGCTTTGTCATTGACAAGTATGACGCAGTGGTTCTTGTGATCAGAAGTCATGAGGCTTGGGAGTGAGTCACAGATTTTTCCACTTCGGAAAAGACTATGCACTCCCCAAGGTGCTCTGTGGCACTGCTTACTCAAAGTCCTCAAGTCCCTGTCCTCAACCTGGTGTCAGCCAAAGGAGGTAGGAGCATTTGTGATTTACAGATGTGCTAACAGAGATCCTAGCAGCCTGGGGATCAGGAGAACTGGCCTCCACAAGCTCAATGCAAAGCAAATGGACAAGCCACATGTGATAGGCCCAGTGACCCGGCAGCATCCCAGCTGGGAGGCGAGTCCCTCCCCACCTTCACCTGGCTCTAAGGAGGCAGTTTCCTTCCTGACTTTAAGATGCTGTGTCTCCCTAAGCTGACTTTTCCAACATTCAGCAAGTGGTCAGGACTTTGCAGTGCCACCCACTGCCATCACCACTGGGTCAGACCGGCCACCGCCGGCAGAGGCGTGAGTAGCAGCATGTGTGAGGTGAGCACCGTACCTGATCCAGCTTCCAGTGGAACTCCGCGGGGCGAAAGGTGTCAGCCTGGTCGAAGTCTTTCCGCAAGAGGAAGACGAGGCGACAGTTGTGCACGTACAGGGCATAGTGATGCCGGTTCATTTCTGAAAAGCAGAAAGAAGTCTTGAGGAATGAGAGAACATTCCGTGTCATCCTTCTGTCTCTACCTAATCCGTGTGAAGCGGAGCTGCCTCACTTTTAGCTACTGGGAAGAGGGGACAGATAGATTTTCCAGCATTAGAAATAGTTTTGTGACTCCAACATCCCCTCCCCATACACAGACAATTAACGGGAAGTTTTCCTCTCTTAATGTAGAAACTTCCTTTCCCGCTAAGAAAATCACATGTCATGGATCCTGGCAGAAAAGGAAATGCTCTTTGACCAATCAATACTTAGAGAACTTGAACCTTACTACATTATAGGATACAGCAGAAATCTACCAGGAGGCGCATGTTCCGTAATGTTGAGTGGCTGAGCAGGTACCCAAACTTGATTCAGATAGACTTCGGGTAGACTTGTATCTTGGGTGCTGTTGAGAGAATTATCTCACCTCTTACAGCTTCAGTTTCCTTAACCATATCATGATGTTGATGCTGGATTACCATAATGTATCATAAGAACAGAATATTACAATTGATTCCTGTAAATCCTGTATAAACCTTGCCTATAAAGTTGGATGGGAAGAATCAACACCAATTACATTGCTAGGATGGGCCCTGATTGCTCCTGGCCCAACAGGCTCCAAGTATCTCCCAGAATATGACTAGTTCAGAATCCATGCCCACATTCCGAGTGCAGGCCATTCTTCTGGCTTCAAAGCTTCTGTCGGGAGTTGGCAAGAGGCTCAGTTCAGGCTAGTGATATGAGCACTCTTCTCAGCAGTTACGGGAGAGAACTGCTCTTTTAGCAGAAAGCAAACAGAAGAGATACTTTCTTTCCTGCTGGAAGTTGTATTATACCACTGGGAGGCTTGGAGCTGTGCAGCCATTATTTGCTAATGTAAAATGAATACACTTAAAGGCACAGATCTGAGAATTACACAGAAAAGGAGTCAGGCCTTGGATACACTTTACCTTAATGATGACTTCATGAGCCATCATAGCTCTGGATGTTTTCAGTTACAAAATACCCACTTTCTCTGTATTAGTTTAATTTTTTGGCTATCTGAGACCAGTTTAGTCTGGATTTTCCATTCCTTGTAGCTGAAAGCCTCTTAATCGATACAATGAGGAAATGTGTGGAATGCATCTGCCCAGAACAGATGCTCCGTAACTATTACGTATTAGAAGGACTGTCACACTGCCTTACGACCAGCGCAACCTAACAAAATAGTGCTTTCAGGAAAGCATCACCATTCTTGAGAATGTAACCAGAGGGTGGCAGGAAGGAGAATGGTCAGGGGCGTACTGTGGCAGGGCCGGGCTCTGCCAATGTCCGGGGGACCATTCTTAGCCTCTGGATTGGCAAAACTCCCCGGAATGCTTATGGGGATTTTACTAAAGATTTCTTGTCCCCCTTATGACTGTATGACTGACTTTGCTGTGGTTTCTGTTGATAAATATTGGGAAATATAGAAAGGAAGAATTTTTGCCTTTAGTTTTATTTGGAGTTGGGAGAGGCTGGGGGTAAGGAAGTAGAACAAGAAGAATGGATGAGAAAACCTCACTCTACTAGAGCAGCTTCTAGCCTGGGAGGTTTCTTCCTCCTTCTACTCCCTTTCTCCGAATTCATAGTCAGCCCACGTGCCAGGGTACCTGGTTTATTCACTGTGTTAGTAATGTGATCTGCTCAGGAATCCCTTTCTTTCTTTTCCTGCCCTTAGGAATTCTTTGTTGAATCTTTCCTTCCTTCTCTCTATCCACAACTCAGGTAGATCCCAAAGCCTTCTGCTCACTTTGATGTATTAGAATAGTCTTAAATGGTTTAATTCAAATCAACTATCAGTCTCTTATCCAGTTACAATAGATGTTCCTCTTCTCTATTCAGTCTTTACCCAGGGCTTGGAGGCCCACAGTAGGGAAAGGATAGGGTAAAGTCTTTCATTCTTCCTGTCCGACGTCCTCATCCTGCAACCTCCTCCTAGCTCTAACCATGGTCAGAGGCAGGGGAATGTGAATGAGAGGAAAAGAAGTATAAAGTCTCTTTAAAAAACCACTGGAGTTTTTCCTTTTCGAAAGGCTCTGCAGAGGTCTCCACATCGCCATCTTCACCTCCCCACACCCTCTGTAGGGATGGCCCTGCTATAAATCTTTACATAGGGATTGATAATGGTGAGTGACACACTCCTTTTCTGGGTGGCTGGGACATTTGTGCTTGTTGCAGTCCCACGTGGTTAGCCCTCACCTCTCATTCCTTGTGTGAAAGATGCTCTTTCCACAGTTGACCTTCCCCGATTCCTCCTTAGCCTCTGCCTTCTCTCAGGAGTCCCCTCCAGCACACACATCAGTTCCTACTGCTGGGACCCCTCTTCCTGGCATGCAGCCCTCTGCTTACTAGCCTGCACATTTCTGGATGGTCCTTTGGCCCACAAGAACAAAGACACCTGTGTTCTGCCAAACTGTACCAGGGAAACTGTTCTCCCTCTGGCCCCTCTCTCCTCACCCTATCATTGTGGCAGCCCCAACATCCACTTGCCTTCAGACACCCTGGCCAAGAATCCGGGCCAAGCTTTCATGTACCCTAAACTTGACATGAGTCAGACTTTCCCACGACTCTCGTGGGCTCTGTTCTGACACCAGCCTGGAACAGACTTACGAGCATTTGCAGCTCAGTCAACTGGCAGCAGAAGTAAGGTTCTCACTTCCTTTCTATAGATGACAACCTTGGTCCTTCTGAGTGGTTTTCTGGGCGCCTCTGTAAGTGTGAAAGTACCCCCATCCCTTTCCTAGCAGGCAGGGGGACCATCCTAGCACTCTACCAGGCTGACACTTCTGCTTCTCTCACTTGTGATTACGGGACAAGGTTGGCCCCTCTCTCTTAGAAAGCCCTTAGGGAAGTGGCCAGCACTGTATGACCACTTATCATTCATTGTTCTCAGACCTCAAAGAAGGCTGTATGCCTGGGAAGAAGATACCAGCAGGAGGATCAGATGTGTGTGTAGGAGGGGATTACTGTGGCAGGGCAGGGGCCAGGAGGAATCACGGAATGTGACTGGAAAGTGCACTGCGCACGGGAGGAATGGAGAAGTAAGACCCAGCAGAGGTGGGCTGTCAATCACCTCAAGGTAGAGACTCTGCTGTGTGTTCACCTAACCCTATTTTCTTTGCTCCTAGATCCACATCTAAATTCATTTCACAGCTACCCCATGGGTAGATGGGGCAATGTGACCAAGTTTTGGCAAATGGAATGTGTATTAGAAGTCAAACATGCTCTTTTGTCTCCTGGCAATAAAATCCTTCTGTGTTCAGCTGTAGCCTCACTTTCTGTTCTATGGTTGAAAACAGCAGCAGCAAATAATGCAAGAATCCTTGACTTCTGAGTGTTGTGGGCAAAGCAGGGCCCCCCTGCCCTCCAGACCCACCTGGGGCTACTGGACAGTGGCAGGAAGTAAAACCACGAGGAAAGAATGTTAGCCACTGAAATGTTTTTCTTGGTGGTGGTAGTGGTGTTAGTAGTTCTCTCTTTTTTACATTTAGCCTTTGCTGACTAGTCAATCCTTTTGTCCAGCAATTTATAAAATAGTTTATAAAGGAACAGCATTAGTAAGTTTTACTTAGTACACCAGACAGAACTTAGTGCAATTGTCATGAAGAGCAGTTTGACAATTTTCCTATTTCTATTATTTGAATCAGTAATTCAACTTCTGGTCAGGAAATAATAAGAAATGTTGTGAAAGAGAAATAAACTATCTTGTTTAGCCTTTAAAAAAAAAGTCTAAAAGTTTATAACAGAAAACTTTTTAGAGCATCGGTGTGTTTGCATTTAAAAGGAGACAACCTAAATATCTAATGAAAGGGGGCCAGTTAAATGAAGTCTGACAAATCCAAATGGCAGAGTTTTAAACTCCCAGATAGAGGCAGGAGAATTGCTTGAACCCGGGAGGTGGAGGTTGCAATGAGCTGAGATTGCGCCACTGCACTCCAACCTGGGCAACAGAGTAAGACTCTGTCTCAAAAATAAATAAATAAATAAATAAACTCCCATATAATTCATATTAAAAAATGTTTTATGTGGAGAAATGATGTGGATATAGTTATATGAAGATAACTGATGACATCATGGTATCACAGATATTATAAAAACGTAAGGACATTCTACATATACACAGAAGCACAAATAATATTGTAATGAAATGTACCAAATGCTATCAGAAGATATCTCCCCAAGGGTTAGGATTTTAGGTAATTTGTGTGTTCTCTTTTATACTTTTCTGTGTTTTTCACGTTTCCACTATAAATATACATTGCTTTATAACTTAAAAAATTTTTTGATATAAAAAAGCTATAATCATGCTTTCATTTATTCCAGATTTTTTTTTTCAATTTAGAATGGGTTATTTATAGGTTTTTTTCTTGCTGTCAGAAAAGTTAGAGAAAAATCTTCCCACCTTCTCCGTGCCAATCTTGAGTGTTGCTTCACACAAGGACCAAAGCTGAATACCAGGTGCTGCTAATCTGGGGGTGCTGAATGCCTGCTCAGGAGACGGTTGTGATGCCAGCGAGGCCGAGTTCAGCCATGGCTGCCCGATAGGGTCCTCTGAGATTCTGATTTACTGAGCTGGGTGAGGCTCTAGCATCTACACACTTTTACAAGTGCACTAATTTCTTCTAATGAGAACACTGGTGCAATAGCATGGGCCTGGGAAGGAGAGTCAGAGGATCGAGGTCCAATCCTGTCTTTCTTGGTAATCATCTGTGTTATCCTGGGCCAATCACTCAGCCTTCCGTATTCCAGTTCCCTCCTTTGTAAGCAGAAACATTTATATCTGTCTGACTTTCCTCCCTGGGGACTCGATATAGCTTAGAAAGGACTACATGTGTGTGGCCACTTACCCCAGCTCACACTGCTTTATAATTGTCTGCACGTTCTTAAGCTGTTGAGTCGCTGGGTTGCTAGCTCCTGGGTCATGATAGGAGCGCCTCACAGGGCACTGCACAGGCCACCGAACTGCATCCCAAACCTCTGCCTTCCTGCATGAAGGTCCCAGAGAAAAATCTGTCCTTGGCACTGACTACTACACAGACTTATCATATAAATAGGGAGAGCCAGGCACCTCTGTTTCAGTTTCTGCATCCAGAAGATATATTAACATTTATTATAAAGATCTACTGAAACAGAGAATGAAGGGTTCTTGTAGCAGTGTAATGAGGAATAAAACTGAAAATAATAATGATAATAACAACATCAAGTAAATTAATGGAAAACTGATTTATGCATCTGATGCTACTAAGTAATGCCATACTTTATTTCACATTTATTTTCCCCATTTAGCCTATGGGGAAAATGAGGCTCAGAGAGATTAGTAACTCTTCAAAGGTCATACCTTGAGAAGTGGTCAAGCTGAGACGGCAACTTTGGCTGTCCAACAGCAGAGGCTGAGCTGACAGCTTTTTCTATATTGTCTTTTTACTCTTACATCTGCTGTGGTTGTTATTTATTTTGGCTGTTTTAGCAAAAGTTGTCTTTGAAATGGGAAATTGTAGAATTACAACTAAACGCAGAGTTGTACCATTTGCATAAGACTCAGGATGTTTGTGCATGTGTGTGGTGTGGGTGGGTGCAGTGACAAGAGCATAGGTTTGAATTTAGTTGCATCTAAGCTGACATTCCAGTTCTGATACTGACTGTGTAACTACTTGTGACAAGTTATTTAACCTCTAAGGAATGTTTTATCCTTAAGATGGCAACAACAATAAAGCTTTTATAAAATAGCTAATAGCGAAGTGTGTGTGTGATCTGAGCTAACAGATCATCAAACTTCCTTTGTACCAGGCACCGTTCTGATCACTTCATGATTATGAAGTCCTTTAATCCTCATAAGGACCCTATGAGGTAGATACCACTATGATGCCCATTTTACAGACAGGTAAAGTGAGACACAGAAAAGTTAAACAACTTTTCAAGGTTCCCTAGCTTATAAGTGTTAGGGGGCTTTTAACCACCAAGCCGTGAACTTCTTGCACAGGCTCAGCAAGCTGAAAAGCCTAACAAATGGTAGCTATCATTACTATATATGGCAGAGGTTTTCAGACTACTCTTCTTAATTAGCAGTACTTTATTCAAAAGATAGCCTTTGGAAATCATACTGTATATAATACAGTCAAGGTGGAGCTTCTTTGCTTGAAGTAGGAATAAAGATTCCTCTCTCACCCTCATCTCACTAATAGCATCCCTAAAGCACTTTGGGAATGCTGGGTTCTGAGAAATCACGTCTAAAAACCACCAGTTCCAGCTTTTACATTCTTTGTGTCTGTCTCCCTTCTTTCCCCGCCTTTTCTGCTCCTGCTCTACTTCAGGCCAAGCCTGGACAATCAGCAGCCAGGCAACCCGAGACCACAATATATATTGGGAGGGTTCTTCTTAGGCTTCTGCTTTTCTTCCACACCCACCTTGGCTGTGTCCATGCCCAACCAGCTGGGACAAAATGGGCAGCCGCTGGGGTGGGAGTGGAAGGGCTGGGTTAGAGACTCACCGGTTTTGTCAGAGTTGCAGAGGATGGTTTCCTTCTCGGCTCTCACACCTGGGCTGGGGCCGTGTTTCATCCACATGGTGATGGTGAACTGGTCTGTCAGGTTCTTGGGCACAATCCCATCGGGGATTTTGGCCCCCTGCCTGCCGTCAAACTTGAAGATCATCTCACTGCTGTCCACTAAGAGTCCCGCAGTCCAGTTGGTGGCTGCACTAGGGGATGGCAAGAGGTCGATGATGCCAGAGGAGGCTCCTGCAGAGGATGGGGAAAGAAAGGGCAGCGGGTCATTCCTAATGAGGTGGTGCCTCATCTTCTGCTTTCTCCTCCTGAGTCAAGATGAACTACTCAGTGTACTTACTCAGAGAGTTCTGTGCCTAGCTCTGAACTATGTGACTTAGGAGAAGAAATGCCAAATGCGATCCCAGCCCCTGAGTTATTTATGGATTTTTGGGGGGAGGCATCAGTAAGTCACAAACAAAAGTGCTGCATGTGGCAAGATAGGAAGCAGGAAAGAGGAGGAACTCCCGAAGTTGGAAGAACCCTTGGGGCTCTTACTAGCAGCGACAGTTGCTGGAGAAGGCCAGAATTTGATTTGGGTGGATGGATTTGCTCACACACCTATCCATCTGTTAACCTGCCAGCCATCTATTCAGCACTAACCATGTGCCAAGTCCCCTGCGAGGTGTTGGCTCTATGAAGGTGAATCGGACACAGTCCCTGACGTAGAGGAGCTCAGAGCCAGTTAAGTTGACAAGATGTGATCAGGTCTGTGATTGGGGAAAGTTCCAGATCCTGATCCCATGAGAAGGAGCATGAGGCACTCACTACACTTTTTTACAACTATTTGTTGAGGCCAAATGATGCAGCAGTTGTGAACACAGGTTTTGAAGTCAGCAAAACTTGAATTTGATACCTGGCAGCAAAATTTGCTAGTTCTGTGACTATGAGCAAGCCAGTTGACCTTTCGGACTCTGCTTCCTCTTTCAAGTGAGTTATGAGGCTGAATGAGATAATGCATTTGAGCTTGCAGTAGCATGCTCACTGCATGGCAAAGGTTCGCTCAGTGTTAGTTATCACGTTATCTTCGTCATTATATTGCTTCTGCTGCTACTATAATAGTACTCAGGCTAAGGCAAGAAGACTTAGTCTGAGGCAGCAGGAGTGCCATGGGCAGGTTTGTTGTAGAAGAATCACCAATTTTGTGGAGGGCAGGGCTGAGGTTAGAGGGGACAACTGGATGACCTTCCTGCCAGAGAAGACTGGATTGTCCTGTTGGGTGGGTCTGGGGCCTCTGGTGACTCTCCACAGAGCTTCACATGCAGAATTCTTTGCATCCTTCTATTCCATACAGAAACAGGGCTCAGGCACTAGGGGAAGGAGGGCCAGGAACTTGCGGTTATTTTCAAATAATAAGAGCCAGGGTGTCTAAAGTGTGACCTGTGTTGGGTGGGCAGGAGCAGGTGGCCTCTTCCCTGGTATGGAACTAATCAGTCAGTCATAAACTCTGGTGAGTTTAATGGACAGTGGTTGTATGCATTACCTGCCAATTGCCCAGGCTTTGGATTTTTGACTTTTGTATATCAGAGCCTCATCTTATATAGGGTTTGGGTTCTGAAATCAGCCACTACAAAAAAAATTCTCCCACCATTAAAATGACCCTTTGAACATCCCTCAAGGAAGGTGGCATGCTGGAAATCAGTTCACTTGTATGAAAATGTTCAACCTAGCCAATTTTCCCTCCATCTGCAGAGGAGATTATCAGGTCTATGTCCAATGGCTAGTAATAGAAGGTTATGCTATGTGAAGGGCATGTATCCTTAGAGCCCAGCGCATGCTCTGCTTATCACCAGGAGAGGTTCACTCTGGGAGAGGCTTCTGGAACTGTGGTGTCTGTGAAGGTAGAGATTAAAATCTCCCAATTCACACTCATGCCGTAGCTTGTATGTATCAAAGAGAAGTGTGGGCAGAGTTGACAGCATTATTTACATGAGTAGCTCCTAAAGATTTTGCCTGTTACTGTACCCGACACATAGTAGGCACTCAGTTAATATTTATAACTGCCTTTCTTTCCACCCAGTGCTCTCACAAGATGCTCCTGGCAATTCACCCAATGCTCAAGTGAGCCGTCCAGCCCCTTGTCCACGCCCCACACTTCTCATCACACTTACCTGTTCTCATCCCCTGCTGCTAACTTCTTGATACCCATGTTACTTATGTGATAAACTAATTTACACAAATGTTTTAATGGCCAATAAAGTCTTTGCTGTCCTTTAATACCACCCTCCACAGATATTTCTAAGGAAGACATCTATCAAGATGGTAGGAGGTAGAGATTTGTGAGTAGGAGATACACGGTTTTTGGGGGAAGAGCATTTTCCTAGTACCCCTGGAATAACACAACATGGCAATAGCTTCTTTGACCTATTAAGTTGGGTCTGATAACCAAAATTTGTCCAGTGTGAAGACAGCTGGTAAAGGGAGTACACACAGAGCGTGTAGGTTCCTGAAACCTAGGGAAGCCAGAAAGGTGCAGGCTGAGCACTCCAGGTTCCTGACTTCTAGCTGAAGCCAATGGCACCAATATCTAGCAGGGCCTCGTGCAGAGGTGTGCATGTGGTGGCTGCAGGGGCCAGCTTTGCCATCATGTGGAGCAGCCAGGCCTCCACACAGGGGAAGCAGGGTGGGGTCTAGCAGGGCTTGAAACTCTACCACCAGAGGGTCCTTTTTTTGGCTAAGGACACTGCTGTCCCTATAGAATTCACACTGCAATTGATACCTTAGACTAGTGGAGAAATTGATTGTGAATTACCCTCCAAACAGGTTTGGATATAGAGAGGTATACAGGAAAGAGCAGCATGCATGGGATGATGGGGGATGCTATGGAAGATTGGGGACCAAACTGGTTACAAAATAAACCCAGTGCTAACCAGAGTTATTCTATAGCTATATCCAATATTTACATAACCTTATTTTATTTTTTATTTTTGAGACAGAGTCTTGCTCTGTCACCCAGACTGGAGTGCAGTGGCGTGATCTTAGCTCACTGAAACCTCTGCCTCCTGGGTTCAAGTAATTCTTGTGCCTCAGCCTCCCAAGTAGCTCAGATTACAGGTTTCTGTCACCAAATCTGGGTTGTATTTTTAGTTGAGATGGGGTTTTACCATGTTGGCCAGGTTGGTCTCGAACTCCTGACCTCAGATGATCCACCTGCCTTGGCCTCCCAAAGTTCTGGGATTACAGGCATGAGCCACCATACCCAGCCTACATTACCTTATTTTTTTATAGTTACATAACTTTTCTGTTTTCCTATGAACTTTTTACTGGGCATGGAATGGATGCCAGGCCTGAATTAAGAGCCTTATACGTGTTTTCTTAGTTACTCATCTGTGAGGTGAATATCGTTAAGATTCCAGGTCACAGATAAAGAGCCCTAGGCAGAGTGAGCCCAGGATGGAACCAGCTAGTGAGCAGACCCATCACCAGGACTTGCCAGCTCCAAAGCCCACTCTCCCCACTGCACCTCCTCAGTAGACCTGGAGGGAGATCTTGTAACTTTCTGCTTATTTTCCAAACATGCAAACTGAGGCTCAGAGAGGAGAAACATCTGGACTAAAATCACACAGTAATAGCTAGCTAGAAGCAGGCCCTGCTCTCAGACACTCAGTTAGTGTTCTTTCTACCATACAGTAGTGTTTAGGGGGCCAATCTTATAAATTGCCAAGCACAGCCTAGTCACACGGGACTCCACCTCCCTGCACAGGCCACTGCTCTGGCAGAGGGGCACATTGAGGATGTATGACCTGGCAAAGCCATAATGTGGGGCTCCTTTGTCTTCCTTGCTGAGGGGGAGTGGCAGGCCACCTAACCCACAGATGTTGCCTGCCAGAAACCATCAAGCTGCATTTAAGCAGATGGTGTAGACTTCCACAAACTTAACAGATTGTATTTCATTTTTTGGTACACTTAAACAAACTGAGAAGATTTACTTTCTCCAAGGTTTTTCTGTCTCTCTTCTCCCCAGGGATCCCTTCGGAAGGCAGTGGGTAAACAGAATGCATCACTTGCAGAGATGATACAGCACTGTCTACACATCAGGGTGTATTTAAGACGCTGCTTTGGAATCCTCCGTGAAGGTCCCTGGGGCTCCCAGGCTGCTGAAGATTCACACTGGTCTTGTGCACAGCAGCTGCAGCTTGAGTGCTGGGGGATTGAAACCAGGGATGAAGTCTCATTTGAGGTCCCTGGGCCCTAGCAGGATGGGGAAGCCCCTGTGAGCCAGAAAGTAGATACAGACAAGACGAATGAGGCAGATTTCAGGGCACCCTGTGGTACAAGAGCCCAAATGGGGCCTAGGAATGGCAGTCACTGTCTGAACTTCTTAACTGATGAATTCACATTCTGCTCTGGATGGCCTTGGTGAGGCCAGAGGGTGCTTAGCACTTCAAGGGGCTTGTGACAAGGGTGACTGACACGGGGCCACCAGTCATGCCTCCTCAGGGTCCACCCCTGACCATGGGAAGGGGAAGGGACAGGTGGGGAAGCTCAGGGAGAGGATCCAGTGTAATCAAGGACACAGGCCTCACTCTGTAGGATGTCCTCACAATTGGCAATATCAACTCCATATTATGCCGCTAGATGTTTATATAATATCTAAGTTATGCCAGGCACTGCCATGAGAATGTAGCAATGAACCCATCAGCAGCGGCTCTACCTTTAGGGATGCAATGAAAGTCTTTTATTTTCTGAAGGAAGCAGCTTGGTGGGTAGATGAGTTCAGTGATACAGAACCTCTGGGAAAGCCAGGGAGGCCCTCTTGACAAGTGCCGTATGGACTGCCGGGACTTCGTGGCGGTAGAATGTATTCTATTCACAACACAAATCTCTGACCCGCTGATACCAGCTTGTCCACGAGACTTGCTCTGATGGATGAAATACGTGTGCATGTGACATGTGTCATATCAGAGCAGAAGCCTTAAGAGCTTGTCTGTTGCTCGCTATGCATCTTTTCCATCTATCAGGAAATCAACAATGTTTTATATCAAAGCTGTTCCATTTTTCCTGGATCCTGGTGGGGTGCTAACATGGCACACAGCCACAGCCAATCCGAGGACATGTGGCAGGAATGATAAATAAACTTTGTTATTTTAAGACAGTGAAAGTTTACAGTCATTTGTTACTGCACCATAACCTGTCTTACCCTGACTGATAATCCACATCAGTGATTGTTATTGGCAGTTAAAATTCCCACTTTT